CCCCCCCCTCCTTGAGGCCACGTCGACCTTCGGGCCCCTTGCAGACCCGGGGACTTGGGACCTCGGCTGGGGAGGGAGGGCAGGTGGGCAGGAGGAGGACAGCTCTGGAAAGTCTGTGGGGGGCTGGGCGGGAGTGCAGACCCCCACCTTGGGGAGTCTGGACAGAGGCCTCTGTCTCCCTAGCGTGCACGTGTGGGTCCAGCCCCAGTGCCCCTCTGTCCTCAGGGACAGGATTGTGTGTGCCCTCTAGTGGGAACAGATATGCCTGGGCTGGGGCTCGTGTGCACACGGCGGGGACAGCTCACCCCGCTGGGGACCCTTCTCTCCACCCAGCAGTAAATCCACCTCCCCTGCAGTGGGTGAGCCCTGGGCACCAGTCACCCCAGGTGACACGGAAGGGGAGGGGCTGAAGGCCATTTTGAGAGGGCTGGAAAGACAGCCCTGATTTTCAACCCCTACCCTGCCCCTCCTGGAAAATTCTTCCCAGCTGCAGGACTGGGTCCCAAGACTTGCCAGGTCCCATGGCTGGAGGAAGAGAAGTGTCAACCAGAGAACAACTTCCCTAGAAATGGCCTCTGGAGACCGGGTTGGGTGACCAAGGAGTTCCTTCCCTCCCTGAGGAGGGCACTCTCCAGAGGCACAAGCAGGTATATGCGTGGGCACACCTGCATGTGGCATGAGTATGCTGTGTGTGCCCGGGACCCCCGTCACCCCCGGGGGGGGGGCCCAGATCCAGAGATTAGCCTCCCACTTCAGCTGAGAAAACAAAGGCCCTTTGTGGGCCCCCAACCTTTGTCTCCGGAGAGGGGGAGATTAGCAACTAGACACTTCTTGAAAGGAAACACTCAGTTTCGCAAGTGAGCCTTCTCACCCAGCACACACCTATGGCGGGCTGGGCAAGGCACAAAACCACCATGGGCACCAGGCAACACCCCTCCACCACCGCCCACTCTGCCTCCACTCAGGCAGAAGCTGCTCCTCCCCAGGAATCCCGTTCACTCCCCTGTCCCTGCCTCTGGCTCCCACCACCAGACGGTTATTGTCAGGACCAGAGAAGGCAAATGACTTGTCCAGGCAGAGGCAGGTTCAAGTTTAGAACCCAGGCTTCTACATTTCCAGGCCAACGCAATGGTTCTCAGATGCAATTAATGGGATTAAGGGAGATGTTGCGTGTAACGATGATGTGTGAACTGTAATTCTTTACACCATTATGACACATTACTGGGATCGCGTTCATTATTTCTGCTTCCTGTGGGGAGAAAACAGGAACCCGACGCTTGGCCTCCCTTGCCTCCTTCAGTTGGTTGTCAAAGCACAAGAGATCCCTGGGAGCCCCCAGGGTCCAGGCAGAAGGAGAAGGGTTTGGGGCTGGCCCTGGCTGAACCGCTCCTCACCCCGAGCGCCCCTGGCTGTGGTCCCTCTCTCTCCCTCCCTCTTCAGCCTGTTGCAGAACGAACCCAGGTGCCACACCTTGAGCCCCCTCTCCATGCTGTCTGTTGCTCCTGTGCTTTCAAGGCTCTGTCTGTGTCTGTCCCACACTGTACCAAGCACCCACCGTGCACCAGGCACTAAGTCTCTGTCCTCTTCCTCCCTCCACTCCCTTCAAAGGAGGACTGTGTGAAATGGTGTCCCCTCTCATCCACGCTCTTTCCTGTCTTCCTTTTCCAAAGCTCTGTTTGGAACAGGCTGTCCTGGGCCAGCGGTGCTGTGGAGAGACTCTCCCAAATCCCCAGCAGCCAGTGACAGCCACCTGGCCACACTGCTGGGGAAGGGGTGGAGTCAGAAACCAAGGTGACCTCCGGGGCTGTCCTGGGAGCTGAGTGTCCTTGTGCTAGAAGTTCAGAGGCAGCAAGGCCCTGAGCTGGGAGCTCCATCTGGGTAGCTCGGCCATCTCATTACCCTCCCCTCCCCCACCCCTCGCCCCAACAAACCCCTCTAGAAGGTGCCGAGCATTTTTCTCTCTGTTCCACTTTCTGGATTGTATCTCCCCAAAAGCTAAGTGTGAGAACCCCACCACCTCTTGCCCAGACTGAGGTCAGAGGTCAAAGCAGGATTCCAATTGATGAGGGTGGTGAGAAGTGTAAGTTACTGAGCATCTCTTGGGTACCAGTCACTGTGCTGGGGACCTTATGTGATTAGCTCCTCTGATCTAAAACTTCAGACAGATCCCAGAAGGATAAAGACCTCCAGCCATGCAGGGTTTCCCTGTTTCCAGAACTCTCCCTTATCATCCCATGATTACCGCCCCACTCTCCCCTCCCACTCTGCTGGATAGACAGAGTGACTTGTTCTTCCCATTTTATAGGTCTAAAGTCACACGTCTAATACCTAGTGGAGCCAAGGCTTGAACCTTAGTCTTCTTATACAAAGTCCCATGATCTTTCCAGTGAGGCAAGTCCTAGGGTCCTCCTGGGAACCCTTGTCAGAAACAAGAACACATGGCTGGATCTGTGCAGCCCAGCCCACTCACTGTCTTGGGGTGGGCACAGAGACTTGGAGAGGACGGCAGCAAGGTAGAGAGGACACAGCAAAGAACACAGGACTGGTTTCTGTCCTTGTGGACCACCCAGTCTGGAGGAGGATAGAGGTGAGATACACCCCCAAAACAGACAGAGGCAGGGAAGCATGGGGACAAGAGGACAGACCTCTGGGTCCCCAAGCTGGGGACAGAGAAGGCTCTGAGCTGAGAGGAGAAGATGGCTAACCACAGGGTCTCAGCGGCAGCCATTCCCACATTCCCACTTTGTGCCAAATGACTTTGCACCTGAAATGATACTGTGTCGCATCTTGAAACTGTGATTTTGTATATAAACAATGCCTCCCAGCTAGACTGTAAGCCCTTGTGTGCAGGGCTCCCTCCAGTTTTTGAATGGCATTCTCCTAACTACCTTCTCTCATCTGTATTGTCCAGCACAGTGCTCTGCATATAGTAAGCACTCAATAAATGCTCATTTACCAGCAAATGCTGTTTCTTCCACGCTTTGGAAATGGTCAATACAGTCCAAGTTACCAGAAGACAGACTGAGTTCCTATCCCTCCTCCTAGGGAAGCCAGAGGTCCCGTATCAGGAGAGAAGGAGAAGGGGTTGTCCCTAAGAGATTTTTCTTCCCCCTACCACAACTGGGGGGACTCATCTCCTAGACCGGAAAGGTCTCAGGAAAGCGTTTCCTCTGAAGCTGGCAGGGAGAGCCTGAATGCTCAGGACAAAGACAATTCCAAGATGTAATCACTCCAGTAGTTCCTTGTGACAACCTGGGGAAAGAGTGACCCTGGTGGTTAGAGAGACGGAAGGGCCTCAGACACAGGCCTAGGAATCAGAATCAGCTGTCCCTTGTGAGTAGGCTTGCCAGATGGAGTCTCCTTCTTCGTCCTCACCAGGCCCACTCCTGGTGACTGAGCATGTGTGGCAACCTGTGGTTCTTGTCTCAGGTCACTGTATGACCCCGGAAAAGTGAGCTCTGAGTCTGGGTTTCCTCACAGGTGGCTTAGAATCAAATCACACAGTCGAGGCCAATTATACTTTCATGGGTTATATTCTGAATCTATACAATGGCAGGATCAAGGTCTTGGCCTTTACGGCCCCTCAGTAACTGCAAAGGATGAAGCTCAAATCCTCAAGCAGAAGCATCCTTGGAGGCCCAGCCTCCTGTGAGTCTTTCTGAGTCCTTATACTCCAAGACACTGGAGTCTGAGACCTGGAATTCTTGAAAACAGTGCCTGGGGAGAGGATAAGAAAGAAAGGCGGACTGGAGGCAATTTCAGCAGGGAAGGAGCTGGCCCCCAAGGGTCTCTGGGGTGAGCAGGGCCATTGTGCCCTCTAAGTCCCAGGCCTAGAAGAAAACCCTGCATACAGGTGCCATGCTCTGCTGGGGGCAAGCATGGAAGAAAGGACAGACAGACTTCAGGCCTTAAGAGGAGAGACTTGGGGGAGGAGTTGCTACAGCAGGAAATGCCAGAGCCCAAAAGGAACAATAGCAGGGTTTCTTCGGCCCCTGTTTTCTTTGGCCTCTTGGCTGCCAGGGAGCCCAGAGCCCGCTCCTCCAGATCCTTGACCTAACTGCCGGCTCCTCCCGTCAGCCCCTGCCTGTCACACTGACAGAGGAGGCACCTGTTCTCTCCTTCTACAGCACCCTTGGGCTTGGCTCCTTCCCTCCAGCTTAGCTCCGCATCAAACCCTCAGGGAGCTTTTAAAAGTAATAGTCACAACATTCAGGGGAAAGGGATTTTAAAAAAAGAATTTATTTGTTTTGTAAAGTGTGTATTTATCCTCACATGTTTAAACTTCAGTCACCTTCACAGTACTCTCATTTGATGCAATACACCTATCGAGATGCTTTTTCCACTGCGCAAAACAGTTTTTGAACTTTGTCTATTTTGATGCCTTTTAGAGCTTCTGCCATTTTTTGTCTCATCTCTTCCACATCAGCAAAACATTTCCCTTTGGGGATTTTTTTTTCATCCAGGGAAACAAAAATCACTCGGGGCGAGATCAGGTGAACAGGGATGGTGGGGTCATGCCCATTTTAGTCAAAAACTACCGAGCACTCAGCATGGTGTGGGCAGGTGCATTCATAAATCACCCATCACGAAATGAACAAACGCATTGCAAGAAGCTCCACACACAAAAATTCACTGACGCCAAATGCAGCCTCTCACAACAATGCTAGCTGGAACACTGATGCCGATGGGTTCCTGGAACACTTGCCTAACGGGGGAGGCCTGTACTACAAGGGGCCTGCCCATCAAAAGATAATTCCTGTTTTTTGGGGAGTCCTCAGTAAAGAGACTTTGCTGAGCCTTACTTTGTGCCAGCCACTGTGCTAAGTGCTTCTCTCACACACATGGGGGTGAGGGTATTTAGTGCAGCCCCTCTCTCCTAGGATCCTGGGGGTGGTCCCTGCCCCAAGCCCTGGAGACGCTCCAGCCTCATTCCGGATGTGCCAAGCCTGGGGATGAGGAGAGGGAGGGGGCAAGGACAGGAGAGGGCAGACTCTGCAAGAAAGAATGGGCCAAGGGGGGGTGGACCTGACTTCGGTGAAACTGAAAAAAGATCACACGCGAGAGACAGACATGGAAAAGGAGGTAGAAACAGTGAAAACAAAGAAAAATTAAAGGAGCAGAGGAAAGGTGAAAAGAGGGAGGAGATAGAAACTACAAGGTGAGAGAGATGAACAGAGAGAGGCAGCGAGACTAAGACTGTAAAAGGCGGGAAGGATAAAAGAATGTGAGAGTGTGAGAGGCACAGGGAGAACTTCAGAGACTGAGAGATACTGAAATGAGAGAGAGATTCAGAAAGAGAAAGAGAGAGAGGCACAGAGAAGTTGAACAGAGACAAAAAGACAGAGAAAGAGAGATAGGGTTTGCCGGGCAACGGTGGCTCACACTTATAATCCCAGCACTTTGGGAGGTCAAGTTGAGAGGATTGCCTGAGCCTGTGGGTTCGAGACCAGCCCGGGGAACTAGGCAAGACCATCTCTACAATAAATCAAAAAATAAGCCAGGCGTGGTGGCGCGTGCCTGTAGTTCCAGCTACTTGGAAGGCTGAGGCAGAAGGATCACCTGAGCCCAGCAGGTCGAGGCTGCGGTGGCCGTGAGCATGCCACTGCACTCCAGCTTGGGCGACAGAGTAAGACGCCGACCTCCCCCCAAAAGAGAGAGAGAGACAAGATTGGAAGAAAGACCAAGAGAAGCAGAGAGATTTCCAGGAGAGAGAAATCAAAACCGAGCCAGGGTGTGCAGCAAGAGACTACAGGGGCCGGGGGGCGGGGAGAGGACGGTGGAAAGGAGGAC